TCGCATCTATGACGACATCCTAAAAACAACGCCCTAACTTGGGACAAGGTCAGTGACATGCTAATGAGTTAGGAGGGGTGAGACCTGCACTCCACTTGAGCATCCCAGCAGACAATAGGTCTGTGACATGCTAAGGAGTTAGGGTCGTTAGCCTCAGCAGGGTCGTTAGACCTGCTCCCTTCTACATCAAGCAGACCGTAGATTGTTTATGAGTTAGTATCAGGATTAGGGTGTGGCTAACCACACCCATAGGTTATAAATCTCCAACGCGCGGTCCAAGAATTCATTCCGTGAAGAAGTCCGCTAGTTCGAGGACGAAACGTCGGGAAAACTTGCTAAGAAGTACAGATGATGGGTGAGAAACCTTCCTTTGCTTCAACTGTTAAAATGTTTTAAAATGATAAAGTATGAGTATTGTAGCATTTTAGTAGATGGTAAATAGTAGTAAAAAAGTAGAATTTTCCTTTGTTGTTCATAAACACATTTCCACATAAGAGTTAAAAATCATAACCATACAATGTTATCCTTTTGATAGAGCAGCTAAAATATTAGAATCAGAGTTATTTTAGAGTTATTTTATTTTTTTTATTAAAAGTGACAGAAGTCACAAACTAGAAATATGCCATGGCTCAAGCTGCAACCAAGCTTTGGAGTCACAATAGAGAAATATAAACAGATAAATGCATCAACCATAAAATAGAGAATATTTCTAGCCAGTGCTAATATCAAATGAAAAAAGGACCATTTCCTTCAAAATGTGTTCACAAACCTTTACTTCAGAAGTAAATAAAGTTAATTAGAGTTTTTTGCACAGTTTTATTAGATACCTTCCAAATTCACTGGTGTTCAAACACCTGTGAATATTGACAATACAAAAAAGAGTGTAGCCTAGATTAATGTCTATTATATAGATTAGAACCAACAGAGATTCAAAAAACATTTTTGAGAAGTTTAAAAGTTGTCGATTTGCCAGCACAGATTAGAGAATCAAACACCATTGTAGAATAACTGACCCCAACCCCAAACCTGCTAAAAATAGATTAGCTCTTGTAAGGATAATAATAATTTGATTAAAGATGTTCATTCATGGGGCGACAGTAGCTCAGTTGGTAGAGCATTGGCCTTAAGCCCAGAAGGTCGTGGGTTCAATTCCCACCTCTGCACCTTCTCCACTGACTCCCACTGATGACTGCTGTCGTTGTGTCCTTGGGCAAGACACTTAACCCCACTTTGCCCAAAGCCCCCACTGAAAGATCAAGGCTATGCTCACACTCAGAGAGCAGCCGTCCTCCTGTGGACTCACCACCTGCAGAGGGTCAGTGAGGGGCTGGTGCTATGAGACTTGGGTGGCATCTCTGACTGCCACCCCCCTGACCCAGAAATGGATTAAAGGGTAGAAGATGGATGGATGGATGGATGTTCATTCATCCCAAACTGCCTGAGAGGAGGAAGTGACAGCACTTCCTGGTTCAACAAATGTATTTGGAAAACTGACCGCCATAATAATGTTCATATTTGCCTTACTGTGTTCACAGTTTTATTCCTGATAATGTAGAATAGACATAGAGCAAAATCCCACTAACAATATGCCCCTGATAATGAAAGTAAAACCACAGCACAGAGAGATTTATTAGATTAAAATGTATGTTTAAGAATATGGCTCAATAAAAGCAAATATGCAAACATATTTGTAAATAGATTAGACAGTACACAGTCTAAGATTAAAAAGTGAAAATAATACAGTGAATTAAGTGAAGCATAGTGTAAACAATTAGCATTAGAATAAAAGTATAGAGTAGAAAAGTGAAATTAGCTTCTAAATTGAGACTCAGGTCGTTTTTGTCTGTGTTTTGACTGATTCTGCTGAGTTCTCGTGTGTCCAATAGGGTTTGTTTTTGTTTGTTTTAATTTTTTGTTTATTTATTTACTTCTTTTTTTTCCAGGATAGAGGAAAAAATCTACTGATATTGAGTTTGATGATTATGAGTTTAATGCATACATTTTCTTTGTTTTTTAATAATTTCTTTGAAGTTTTTTTGTTGAAGTTTTTCTTTTCCCCACTTTATTGATTGATCAAATTGAGTGATCACATGTGATTATGTGATCAAAGGGGAGAGTGTTAGTATTAGATAGCAATATGGCCTACGTGCAGGACTCTACAAGGACTCTGATTATTTTGACTATGATGTGCACTGTCTTTGTGTGACACGTACGTCTTTCGATGTGTGACGTGACAATGACTATATAAACTGTGTACTGACTCCATTTTGTCTGAGAGAAAGAAACAATTGAAACCACTGGAACTTGAGAGAAACTTAAATAAACTTCCAGAGTTTGGCGCACCACAATCCATCTCTATCTGCTTCATTCCTGACAATAGGCTTGCTTAGTGGGAACGACTGAAAACGAACTTCATATAAACGTCAATATTCTGGTCATATAAGACCGGTTCTGTACCACATTTCAACCTTGAATGAACGTGTCATCAACGTCACATTTGGAGGTCGAGGTGACGTTGAGAAAACACGTCCGGATGACGTCGGGAAAACTCGCCCGGATGACGTCGAGAAAACTTTCATTCTGCACCCACCATGACCTATTTTCTACGTCATTTTTTTTTTTTTTGACAATACCTGTCTCATATTTTCAGGAAGACTGTTCTACATTTTAGCTTGAATCTGAAACGCTACTGTTTAGAAGTATGAAGCACATACAAAAACAATCCTTTAATCATATTCCAAAAAAGCATTGAGAATTTTGGACTCAAGAGAAAACACAAACCAGTTATTTATACAACAATCAAAACAGTTAAATAAAAATGATCGTATCAAATTGCAGTCACTCATTGTGATGTTTAAAGCCAAATTCTCTTTCTGCAGAATCTATACAAAAGCTTTTTATCTTTCAAATCCAACCGGGACACTTCTCTGTAACTTTGGCCAGAACCAGAAAACACATGGGAAAATCAGCGGCTGGAGTCAAACTGTGGAATACACTCTACTATGAAAGAAAAAGTTGTGCAAACATAATAATTCAGAAATAAACATCAACATTAAGAAAGGGGCAGGCTACATGAGATGTTTCCTTCTTCCTACTCACCACAATTATTTGAAATGTAACTGTAAAATGTGGTGTATTGTCATGTCTTCAATTTAAATAAACAACATAAATAAAACCCTAACAAATGTTCTGGAGTGAGATATTCTTCTTCCTGATTGGTTCTTGCCCTCAGTGTTTGCTTCAGGAAAGTGAATCCAAAGTGAACAGTCATGAGTCCAACTCTTCTGTGGGCGTGGCTTCTGTTTTTGGCCAATCAGAGCCCTCCAGCTGTTCATTATAATCTCATTCCAATCAATGCAGCTGTGTTTCTGCACCTCTGCCTGTGGATCGACTGACTGGGTCTTTTCTCTGGGAAACTGGTGAAATGGCAGCTCTTTGGATTTTGTGTCTCTTTTTGCTTGGAACAGCCCACGGTTCGTCACATTGTTACTTTTCATTGTGTTGAACAATTGCTAAATAATTTTCGTTCACTAGTTGGCAGCTGTGGTGAAAGCCAGAATGAAATCCATTATGGTGCAAAAGGTAACTTTGGCATTGTTGTTTATGAATGTTTACATTGTATACAGAATGAGTGTTTGAGCTGTTGCTGTAGGTTCTGAGTCCTCTGACACTAAAGCAGTGAAGAATTCCATGGTTCAACACCTGGCTGCCAATGCTACACAGGGTGAGTTCATGCAGCTTTAGTTATTTTACTTCCTGTAACACTCAACCTAAAACGTTAAATGCCAAGAAGCAAAGCTGTATAGAAAGGAAAAACTGGTATATCTCTGGCAGAATTAAGGACTCTCAATTTGCTCTGGCCTCTGGGAAACTCGCTGTATCAAAATGCAGTGGGTTTCTTAACTTTGAATCCAAGAGAATTTTTTAAATGTTCTATTTGCTTAGAAGAAAGCGCACACAATCAACATGTGAAAAACATTTATAGCCAAGGCTAACTTAGTGTCTGTCCTGATGGCTTTTAACACCATGAATAACATATTTTCCAAGTCAAACCTTTTGTCCTGAGAAACTAAATATGATTTCTATGTTTACTTGGAGTAGATGGCACAGTCGCTTCTCTGCAAGAAGGTCGGGGTTGAATCCCGGCCGGCTAAGGGCCTTTCTGAATAGTTGGCATGTTCTCCATGTGTCTTAGTACTGCAGGAGACCTCTGGGAACACCATGTGCCACAGTGGGCTGTTGTGTTTTTAGGCAAGACACTTCACCCACATTGCCTGAAAATTGCACACTGAGGTTCAATTCCTTTAAAAGTAATTGTTGCTCAGAATCTTGATTTCTAAAGTTGTCAACAACTTGCAAAAACAAATGGTATGCCTGAATTTTGACATGAAAAGTGCTTGGCTGTAAACGTGTCTCATGTCTTAACAGAACAATTGATAAACAATGAAGTGGAAACTGGAGCAGAGCAAGTGGTCAAGAAGTTCTTGTTGCTTCTTGGCCAAGTACATAAGGAAACTGAGGTGTGTAGACATCCTTAAACTCATTTACCCTTTTAAACTTGAGTTTCACAATGAACATTGTCCTAGCGTTGCTGCTTCCTTGGTCACAGTGGAACATTTAGATATGAAATCCTTTTCAAATTAAGGTATAAGAATTCCTTTATTCGTCCCACAGTGGGGAAATTTCGATGTTTCATCGCACATATAGGACAGTAGTAAGGGCACACACAATATATACAAATAAGTAGTAGCTATGTTTTTTAGCTAACATGACTAGCTGTAGATGCTGAAAATGCTTCAATACCAGTCAAATATATATGTAGTAGTGCAGTTCTATACTGTACACTTAATTGGCATGATCCTAATAGTCCTGTAGGGGGAGCATCATATTAAAACGGAACATGTTACTGCTACATTTAAGATTACATTAGCCCTCACTATTTGACCCGGGCTGTTTCTTTATTAGTATCATGTGTTGCAACCCTAAGTTTGAATCTACATTCACTGTTTTGTCTCTGAGAACATGACGGCGCTCTCAGACTCGGCCTCCACCAACATGACGGCGCTCTCCGACTCTGCCTCCACCAACGTGACGGCGCACTCTGACCATGCCGCCCAGTCCACAAAGAACGTGACTGCGCTCTCCGACTTGGCCTCAACCAACGTGACGGCGCTCTCCGACTTGGCCTCAACCAACGTGACGGCGCTCTCCGACTCGGCCTCAACCAACGTGACGGCGCTCTCCGACTCGGCCTCAACCAACGTGACGGCGCTCTCCGACTCGGCCTCAACCAACGTGACGGCGCTCTCCGACTCGGCCTCAACCAACGTGACGGCGCTCTCCGACTCGGCCTCAACCAACGTGACGGCGCTCTCCGACTCGGCCTCAACCAACGTGACGGCGCTCTCCGACTCGGCCTCAACCAACGTGACGGCGCTCTCCGACTCGCTCAACCAACGTGACGGCGCTCTCCGACTCGCCTCAACCAACGTGACGGCGCTCTCCGACTCGGCCTCAACCAACGTGACGGCGCTCTCCGACTCGGCCTCAACCAACGTGACGGCGCTCTCCGACTCGGCCTCAACCAACGTGACGGCGCTCTCCGACTCGGCCTCAACCAACGTGACGGCGCTCTCCGACTCGGCCTCAACCAACGTGACGGCGCTCTCCGACTCGGCCTCAACCAACGTGACGGCGCTCTCCGACTCGGCCTCAACCAACGTGACGGCGCTCTCCGACTCGGCCTCAACCAACGTGACGGCGCTCTCCGACTCGGCCTCAACCAACGTGACGGCGCTCTCCGACTCGGCCTCAACCAACGTGACGGCGCTCTCCGACTCCTCAACCAACGTGACGGCGCTCTCCGACTCGCCTCAACCAACGTGACGGCGCTCCGACTCGCCTCAACCAACGTGACGGCGCTCTCCGACTCGGCCTCAACCAACGTGACGGCGCTCTCCGACTCGGCCTCAACCAACGTGACGGCGCTCTCCGACTCGGCCTCAACCAACGTGACGGCGCTCTCCGACTCGGCCTCAACCAACGTGACGGCGCTCTCCGACTCGCTCAACCAACGTGACGCGCTCTCCGACTCGGCCTCAACCAACGTGACGGCGCTCTCCGACTCGGCCTCAACCAACGTGACGGCGCTCTCGACTCGCCTCAACCAACGTGACGGCGCTCTCCGACTCGCCTCAACCAACGTGACGGCGCTCTCCGACTCGGCCTCAACCAACGTGACGGCGCTCTCCGACTCGCCTCAACCAACGTGACGGCGCTCTCCGACTCGGCCTCAACCAACGTGACGGCGCTCCGACTCGCCTCAACCACGTGCGCCGACTCGCCTCAACCAACGTGACGGCGCTCTCCGACTCGCCTCAACCAACGTGACGGCGCTCTCCGACTCGGCCTCAACCAACGTGACGGCGCTCTCCGACTCTGCCTCAACCAACGTGACGGCGCTCTCCGACTCTGCCTCAACCAACGTGACGGCGCTCTCCGACTCTGCCTCAACCAACGTGACGGCGCTCTCCGACTCTGCCTCAACCAACGTGACGGCGCTCTCCGACTCTGCCTCAACCAACGTGACGGCGCTCTCCGACTCTGCCTCAACCAACGTGACGGCGCTCTCCGACTCTGCCTCAACCAACGTGACGGCGCTCTCCGACTCTGCCTCAACCAACGTGACGGCGCTCTCCGACTCTGCCTCAACCAACGTGACGGCGCTCTCCGACTCTGCCTCAACCAACGTGACGGCGCTCTCCGACTCTGCCTCAACCAACGTGACGGCGCTCTCCGACTCTGCCTCAACCAACGTGACGGCGCTCTCCGACTCTGCCTCAACCAACGTGACGGCGCTCTCCGACTCTGCCTCAACCAACGTGACGGCGCTCTCCGACTCTGCCTCCAACCAACGTGACGGCGCTCTCCGACTCTGCCTCAACCAACGTGACGGCGCTCTCCGACTCTGCCTCAACCAACGTGACGGCGCTCTCCGACTCAGGCCTCAACCACACGTGACGGCGCTCTCCGACTCTGCCTCAACCAACGTGACGGCGCTCTCCGACTCTGCCTCAACCAACGTGACGGCGCTCTCCGACTCTGCCTCAACCAACGTGACGGCGCTCTCCGACTCTGCCTCAACCAACGTGACGGCGCTCTCCGACTCTGCCTCAACCAACGTGACGGCGCTCTCCGACTCTGCCTCAACCAACGTGACGGCGCTCTCGCGACTCTGCCTCAACCAACGTGACGGCGCTCTCCGACTCTGCCTCAACCAACGTGACGGCGCTCTCCGACTCTGCCTCAACCAACGTGACGGCGCTCTCCGACTCTGCCTCAACCAACGTGACGGCGCTCTCCGACTCTGCCTCAACCAACGTGACGGCGCTCTCCGACTCTGCCTCAACCAACGTGACGGCGCTCTCCGACTCTGCCTCAACCAACGTGACGGCGCTCTCCGACTCTGCCTCAACCAACGTGACGGCGCTCTCCGACTCTGCCTCGCGTGACTATTCTGTCAGTCTCGTCTGAGGAAATGGTGACACGGCAAATGTGAAATGTCCTTCAGCAGGGCGACTCTGTATTGATGCTTTTAAATAAAATGTTTTAAATAATGAATTTATATTTCCCCTCAATGTTAAGGTTTCATACTTGGCTGATTTAATTTCAATATACATTTGTAAGTAAAAACCAGAATGTTCAAAGAGAATGTTCACTTCCTGCCTATGGCATTTAGGTGAGTTTTATTGATAGCTGAATGTATCAATCTAATTACTAAACTGAGACTGACCCAAAAGTGGTGTGCTTTCTCTCAGAGGTAGAGCTTTGACTGGCCATTCAGAGCGATTTTTAAAGTTTATAAACACTGAGAGCACTGTGTCCCAAAAATGCCTTGTATCCAGTTTAATTCCCGTTCGAGCATTATTTGGGAACCTCGTGTAAACCACTGCTGAACTCCAGTGACACTCAAGCAGTTTCCCGCGAACAGGAAGTGAGATGGGGGTTGTAGCTAAAACCCGGAAGTGGTGTGTGCATAGAGCCTATTCTCACCCTTTTGCAGATTCTGCACGGGGGTTAGCAGTCAAATCTTGTATCATGACGTCAGGGCAGTGACGCGAATAACATGGACAGGACGTGACGTACCCTGGCGGTGCAGTCTGCTGGGTTTATACCATACTTTATACAGAGATATAGAAGCGCTATCATGTTGTGTGGTGTCTGCTTGTAGCAACCGTGCAAATAGAGAAGTTTCTTCCATGTTCCAACTGTGGTCTCATAAAGGAGTACACTTGAAGATGAGCCATGACTGTTACAAGAACCGTACACCGCACAGGATGAGAGCCTTGACTCAAACAGACATGAATTACGTTTTTCAAAGGGAGCAAAACTGGGTTGTCCCACCTCTGCTCGCCCTCTACAGGCCAGTTTAATGAAACCCAAGAATAGTGATGGGTTTGATATTGGAAACCAACCGTAAATTGTGTGTATGAATGTGAGTCGGTTCCTCATCCTTCTGAGTGAAACCAACAATTTAAGAATAAGGAAAGCTTTTTTTAGGCTTTTGTCTATGAAATTTTGTGTTACGTTTTCAGAGACCAATTTTGAAAGAACTGTAAAAAAGTAAAGGTAAACTATTATTTTCTAATCAATGACAGACAATGAAGAACATGAACAATTTTATCAATGTGGTAAAAAGCAGTTATTTATTGCTAAAGATAAATACATTTGGCTATAAACACAATATAAAACTTTTCTCTAGTCGTCACAGTCCAGACTTGTCAATGACTTGTCAAAGAGTCTCCAAACACGTTTCCGTAGGAGCTTTTGAGGAAATGCACATAGTTCTGCAGAGCTCTGTTGGTGGAGTCGCTCTGCTCCAGTCGGTCTTTCAGGTTCTGGAGCTGCCCCTGGAACCTGCGCTCCATCTGCAGGAACAAAACAAAGACTCAGGACACGTCTGTGCAACATGTGCTGTATGTTCATGTTCCCTCATCGTTTCACAGCCAGGCTCAACCTAGGGCTGGGCGTTATAGCTCAAAACTATATCACAATAAGTGATTCATTTCGCTCGATATCAATAATAGATTATTTTTAGCAGCCCTTGTTTTCAGTCACGGAATGAGAACTCAGGCTGGAGGCATACGTTCACCATCAAAGTGTTCCCCATTTTCATTCCTGGTTTAGTCCTGGTTTGGCTGTTTTCGAGGGCCTTGTGTCCCTGTGATAGCCGCACGTGCTTCCAGAGGAAAAAGTAAATCTCTTGCTTTTGCAGAATACCCACTGCCTCTCCCGCGCCGCACAAGCTATTCCTTGCACGGACGTCCATAACCATTGACACGGCATTGAAACATGATCTATAGATCCATGAACGCAATGCATGGTCCGGTTGTTTTTTTTGTTATTTTTGCATTTCCCAGAATGTTTTGCGGTTCATGCTCGGCCTTGATAGGTCTACGTTCCCCAGAATTCCGCGAACTTCTGATTTGGCTTTACTTCCAGTGTTTTCTTCCTGATTTTTCTAACAAAGTCACTGTCAAGGCCGTCAGACTGACCAGGTCCCCCGCTTCGTTGTGGTCTTTGGAGAAGCGAATCCCAAATGTGAGCCAAGTTGAAAGCCCCCTAGTCTTTGTTGATGGTCGGTGCGCCCACTTCCTGATTTCAATCGCCTCTCATATCCATCTTTTGTATTTATGCTTTTATGCATTCCTTTTGATGTTTCTTACTTCTGGTGCTGAAAGCTCTTCTTGTTTTTCCGATTTATGTTTTATTGCAGGTTTTACATGGTATTTTGTTGCGCTTTTTCTCCGGTTGTATCCTGTCTTTTGGGTAAACAAGTGTTTGTGTTTTTTTTTTTACAAGGCTTGATTATTGCATTGATGTTGTGTTTTCCGAGTGCTCTCTGTATCTGCTCCGTGACCCTCGTATGTACGGCATTGGGACTATTTCTTTCTGTTCGTTGTCTTTGTGTGGTTGCTTTCTTCTCTGTTTTTGTGTCTGTTTGTTGAGCCGCTGTTGTCTTCCTTTCTGTATTACAAAGTTGAAAATCCCACAAAAACAGAGAAGAAAGCAACCACAGGAGAAACAGAAAGAGCTTTCAGCACCAGAAGAAACCTAAGAATCAAAAGGAATGCCAAAAATAAACTTCTGCGCAACTAACAAGATCAACCAAAAAAGACAAGACAGGAAAACCTCAAATCGGCAATATCGGACCACTGCAAAACAGAAAATCCCATAATGGACTGGGACAATGCAAAAATAGTAGGAATAGAAGAGCATAAATACAAAAGATGGATACGAGAGGCGATTGAAATCAGGAAGTGGGGCGCACAGAGACCATCAACAGAGACGAGGGGGCCTGCACCTTGGCTCACACTTCTCCATAGACCACAGGGGGGCGTCGTCAGTCTGACGGATCCGTGAGATCTGTCAGAGTGACCACATCCGGCAACAACAGCTGATAAGAGACGCGTCAAAACATGTGGTAATTAAGCAGTACTAGCTTCTTTACTTTTTTGTCATGTTAAAAGAACCTTAAGAATTAAACATAAGTAGACAAAGCGATATTTTTTTACATTTGCTTTTCCTTCGGTTCCCTTCGAGGCATGAAGCAATCTGTTCCGAACAGTGCCTCGTCCATATTCCCCGCAGCCGCTCCATGCTTCCATCCAAAAAGTAATCACACACGGGCCAATCATAGTGCACCTTCTCTGCAGTGTCTGCTGTGTAGATAGAAAAATCCGAGGGTTCACAGGTGGTCCTTACGTTGGTCATGAGACATCGGGTGACGTCACGAGGGCCACCGCAAGCTCAGCGCCGCCCGAGTATACACAGGACTTCAGAAGAATCTTTAAGAGATCCTGTTATGTAGATTTGGTTTTTATACATGCCTTATTCTATTTTTACTTGTATAACCAAAGCCATTTCCTGGTTTGTGACTTCCTGTTACTCACAACGGCAAAACATAACATTCTAACCCAGACATCCAGAGGGTCTGCGTTACCTCCTGTCTGCTCCGCTGCTGCAGACTGAGCTCGGTCTTGGCTCGGCTCAGTTCACTCTGTAGATCCAAGGCCCTGGACTGGGATGTCCGCTCTTTGGACAGCAGCAGTTGCAGTTCCTCCTCAGTCTGCCTCTTGGCGTCCTGTAAGCTCTGCTGGAGCCTGGAGTTCAGCAGAGAAACCTCCAAAGTGCGCTCCTCCAGCTCTTTCTCCAGTTTCATCAGCTGACCCTCCTTTAGGACCAAGACCTGGGACTGTGACGTGGACTCTGACTGCAGATCCTCCAACTTACTGCCACACACCACATCACAATGGAATATTAAGATTAGATCGACAGATGGACACAGACACATTGGTTAAACAACTGCAATGCCAACTGTGTCATTAAGAAAGCTCATCAGTGTCACAAATTTTTGCGAAACATAGAGAATTTACCACTAAATCTAAGATTCTGCTTAACTTTAATCATTGCACCATTGAAAGTTTGCTTGTTGGTTCTGTGACTGTGTAGTTTGGTGACATCACAGACAAAGAAAAAAGAGAGAGACAAGAGAGACCAGAGAGAAATCAGAAAGAGAGAGACCAGAGAGAGACCAGAGAGAGACCAGTGAGACCAGAGAGAGACCAGAGAGAGAGACCCGAGAGAGACCAGAGATAGAGACCAAAGAGAGACCAGAAAGAGACCAGGGAGGGACCAGAGAAAGACCAGAGAGAGGTGCTCCGCTCTGCAAAGAGGACTGTGAGCTTCCTGTTCTGGAGGTTCTTTATAAATCCAGACTTTTAAACCGAGCTCTTAGAATAACCAATGACTCTTTTGTCCCCGGGAAAAACCATGTTCCAGCTTCTTTCCTCTGGCAGAAGAAATCGTTCGCTGAGATGCAGGACATCTGGTTTTGCTAACAGCTTTTATCAACAAACTGTCATAAATTACAAACGAGCACTTTAATGATCTTGAACTTGTTTACTGTTTTGTTTGTTTTATTTCTGTACTTTTAATCTTGTTTTATTGACATACTTGTCTTGTGCACACAGGGGACTTTTGCAAATATATTCCAATGTGGTTTAGCAATAGCAAACTAATGAATCTGAAACTGATGATTAAAACTTGCACTTTTATTGCACTGTATGTTAATATGTATTTTAGTAACTTGCACTTTTCATTTGAACTGTATATTATTATGGAAGTTAGTTACATGATTGTATTGTCGAGGACTACAGGTGGAAAGTAGCTGGTGCTAAATCTGGTGCAGCAGTGTTTTAATGCAACAGCACATTGTCCTTAAAGTGATATTCTGGAAATCTAAATGAATTACACATTTCAAAGAATTGTATTAAATTGACCTCCTGGCCTTAAATGTTGATATAAAATAAGTCCTTTTATGAATTCTAATATTACAGGTAAGTCCCGCCTTCCCTTCTCTTAGGTATAGCTCCACGATGCCGTTCACTTTAACCAATCAAGTGATGCCAAGGGCTGTCAATTATCCGCACTCATGCTCGTTGCTGCTCATGCTTGTAGCCTCCATTAGGCTCTGGAACTACAGGAAAACTGAACTAAGAATTCTGAACATCCACACTGAGTTACCCATTTATATACTGAACCTATATCCATAATCAGATCCTCTGCAGATGTGTCCTAAAATGTTCAATTCATGTTAATAGCTAATTCCAGGTTTACCGCAATTGCTTTTTTGTGCATTAAAACATTATTTTTGTCATGAAAACGTTTAACAAATAATTCTGAAAAACCTCAGAGCATGTGTATTAATAATGTATATGTATTAATTAACATCTAAATGTGTTGATTGATTGTTACGGAATCGTAGGTGTAGACCAATCAGAGAGGAAGGGGAAAGAGCTTGGGTCGTTTTTTTCAAATCATGTACCTCTCTCTCTTTTTTCTGACAAACTCCAGACAATCACTTTAATCAATCAAACTTCAATTCATGTAAGTAAAGTAATGAATGCTATAGAAGGGATCGAGGGCACATCTTTGGCAAAACGCCTAATATTGCCCAATAATTCATTTCTAGTTTCATGATAATTACACCTTTCTTTGGCAACTTAAAAACAAAATCTGTTTACTTTCACTTTATCTGTCTGGCCACATACTGCCCCCTATTGTCCACGGCCTTGCACTGCGCCTTCCATTATAAATGTCTAAAACTGTTTCTGTGGCTCTCGTGGAACACACCTCCTCAACCCGCTTGTTGACGCAGGTCTATACAACACACATCGCGCTCATAATGTTGACAGTATCTAAATTTACGATCACTATCTAAGACCAAACCGGACCTGAATGAAAACAGGAGAGAGATGAAAACATGAGGGTGTTTTTACCGCTCTAAAGTCTGCACTTTCTTGTGGAGAGTGTTGTTCTCGTCCTGAAGAAGTGTGTTTCTCTGCTGAGCCAGGTCCAACTGCGCCCCCTGCTGCTCCACCTGAGACAGACACAACCATCCAGGGAGATGTTTGGTATTTACAAGTTCAAACTATGAAAACGATTGCACACAACGCAGTCACAGTATTTTAAATATATACGAGAAAATCCTTTCAATTAAACACAGAGGTCCTCGGTGTAATTAGAATTGTGCAGTTGTATGTCATGAGTTTAACATCAATCCAACTGAACATTTGTGGACGGAGATGAAAAAGTGTGTACGGACGAGAAGGCAAAGAATCAGTTTTGTCAGGAGGAGCCTTCACTCTAGTAGGAGGCAACTCAAAACGTTTGGCTCAAGTCTAAAGGCAATTCAACAAAAATATAAAGTAGCAATATGTAAGATTTTCATGTCAAGTCATCATTAAAAGGGTCCTAATCTGTCAAAAGGCATTAATAAAACATGCTCTTTTTCAATTCTTATTTAACTGATAACAGTAGCTCAGAGATTTTAGAATTTCAAAATTAGTTTTCCAGCCGCTAAATCTTGTTATTGTTTTCATTTTGATGTCCTGCCCTCCACTGTTTCACCAATCAGAAAGTCTGTGATGCGGGTTGCCAGAACTCACCGCATCGAGCTAATCTCACTGGTAAAGTACCATGTGGAGCAGAACTAAAAAAGGGTTTGTTATTATTCTCAAATCATTAACGACCAAACAAGGAATAAAACCAGGATTTCTATCTTTGTGAAAAAAGGTGTTGGTTTAAGATTTGTTGTTGACAAAACTCTTTTCAGCTAAGCTGGAGTCGTCTGCATATCTGGCAACCTGAGTCAGGGAGAGTGGGAGAGGTACCACTTTTGACCAGATTTTTACATATTGTTCCATTAACCTTGTGTGTAAAACTCTGATCCTCAGATGATGTGATGTAATGAATAAAAAATGATAGAATAATAAATAAAACCAATTTTTTCCATATTTTGACATTTAAGAATTTTAAAATAGTGTATTGATCCACCTGATAATCTTTACTTTTTGTTACTTCCATCGTAGTTTCGACAGGGTTGTGGCGCCCTCTTGTGTCCTTTTTGCATACACTCCCTCTTTTTAGATCCTGGTCCATCAGTCTCTGTACCTGGAGGATTGTCCTTTGTATCTTGGTGCTGAGGGAGGAATCGCTTTAGTTTATGACTTGGTTTTGTAGTTCTCTCTGAGAAACTAGTTTGCACTGTTTTAGTGCAAAGTCTTTTGCCTATTATCTAAATAAATTATGATTTTGTTAACATCTTGGTTTTTGTTACTTCCTTTACACCCTTTAACACTTGGATTAAACATTAGGAATTGTGAAAAAACATTGAGATATGTAAACTTATGCACATCTATTAACATTTATGGACATTGGTCACCTGGTCTCTCGCATCTCAGCAAGAAGACCTGGGTTTGAATCCCGGTTGGAACAGGGTCTTTCTAAGTGGAGTTTGCATGTTCTCCTTGTGTCTGCGTAGGTTTCCTACGGGTGCTCTGGTTTCCCCTACCACTAAAAACATGTACAAGAGGTAAAATTCTCCAGCTGCAGTAGTCCTGATCAAGCTGAGCGTCAACATCTGGAGATGGGTTCCCGGGCGCTGTTGCTACAGCGACCACTACTCCTGACATAAGCCCTAGTGGCATCAGGGTCAAATGCAGAGGATGAATTGCCCTACGGGATAAATAAAGTGCACCTTAACCTTTACCTTTACAATATCCTATGCCTCCTATGTGTTTGTTACTATGGCATTTAGTGTGTTCAAACGGTTTCATTCTCTGATTTGTTGTTGGCAAATAAACAACTTGGTAAAGTCTTCCAATTAGGGCCACACAAGGGGCCATACACAAATAAATATTGAACTGAATTTGAACTAAGCTTGAGCACTGTGCTGTCGCTTGCCTTGAGCCGCAGCTGTGCTAGCGTAGCCGTGTGCTCGCTGCTCCTTCTCTCGTAGGTCTCAGCGTTGTGCTGGGCCTCCTTCAGCCGCTGCTCCGTCTCCCTCACTCTCTGGGGGAGGTCCTGGAGCTGTGACAGGCGGCTGTGGAGGTGTCGTGTCTGCTCCTCCTTCTCCAGACTCAGCTGCACTTTGAGCTCCCGGCTCAGGGCCTCGCTCTGCTCCAGGCGCTGGATAAACCGCTCCGACTCCTCGCGGCTCTCCTGCAGCTGCAGAAACACGACAACTAAGGATTAAAGAACAAACTGTGCTTTCGTTTTAGGACATTACATTCATGCAACTTTCTGTGTGATTTACAAAACTACAACAAAACAAGACATTTTGAGCTTGATTCTGCCAAAGGACAATTGTTGAGAGCCACAATAGATAACACAACTTTTAAATATAAGTTGTGTTTTATATATTTATATATATATACATATATATATATAAATATACATATATATATATATATATATATACATATATATATACATATATATATATATATATATATACACATATATATATATATATACACATATATATATATATATATATATATATATACACATATATATATATATATATATATATATACACATATATATATATATATATATATATATACACATATATATATATATATATATATATATATATATATACACATATATATATATATACATATATATATACATGTATATATATATATATGTATATATATATACACATATATATATATATATATACATATATATATATACACATATATATATATACATATATATATATATATATATATATACATATATATATATATATATATATACATATATATATATATATATATACACAGTACATGAAACTGTTTTTATTTTTTATTTTTTAATCTTTAGAAATGTAGAGTACGATAAAGAGCCTCGCCGTTTTGCAGATCTTTGCATGATATTTTTTTAAAACATGCTTCTCATGCTTAAAATACACCAGACCTCACAGCAGGTCTGGTGTTCTTTGGAGGCAACTTTGTATCTTTCTCCTCCAAACACAATATAGAGTTTTTATAACGAGGGTTTTACATTAAATCAGCTTCAGTGACTAAAATTAGTCAAAAATAGACTCTTATGGAAACAGTGTCATATCGCTGAGTGCTATTCTTTCAATTCAATTCAATGTATTCTTGTATTGCCCTAAATCTCAACAGCAGTTATCCTGGAGGGCATTACACAATTGTTGAATTCTCCAACACAGATTAGAGAATCAACACATCAAACAAAAGAAATGTAACAATAAAAAACAACCTGTTGTCCAAAAATGTTTTCTTTACCTTCTTTTTGTATTTCTCTGCCTGGTTCTCGTGTTTTCGGAGCAGAGATTTTAGTCCCCGAGCCTCAGTTTGCAGATCAGTGAGTCGCTTCTCTGCTTCAGACACATCATGCTAAAGGAAACAGTATAGATTGTTTTAACAACAAAGATGACAGAGGATTATGAAAATCCTCCTACTGGCCATTGATAGTCACTGCAGGGACATAATTGGTTTTATTACTCATACTGATTCAAAGAATCATTCACTACTATGCTCCGCCCTCTGTCGGTCAGTAACCACCACCAGTGTTACCTCTAAGCACAGAAAACTCTATTCTGCTCAAAAAACTAAACCCAGCCTGATGTGATTGACAGATGTATTACGACAGTGTCCCATGTCGCCGGCATAAAGACGCAATCATGTACTGTTACAGTGTATGGACAGATCTGCGCATCAGGCCTCATTCAGAGGATTTGATCCAGAACCAGACTAGGACCAACCTCTCTGCAGTTGCAGACGCTGTGTTTCCGCAGACTTGCAGGTCTGTGCAATGCCATGTATGTCCCTTTGTGTCTATTCAGATATTATGGTCCCGGCTGGAAACCTGAGTCAGGGAGAGTGGGAGAGGACTACAGATTGCAGCACCACTTTTGGCCATATTATTACATATTGCTCCTTTACATTGACAATTGTTTGGACAAATCTAAAGCCACAGATCCGTACATTCACATCCTGTACATAGCGGTCTTCTCACCTTGAGTTTGTGGTTCTCTGCGATCAAACTCCCTTTCTGTTCAGTGGCGTCTTTAAACTTGGCTCGGAGCTCCTCTCTCTCGCTCAGACTTTGCTCTTCAGACAAGTGCAGCTGCTCGATCAGTTCAGCAACACGACTGAAAAGACAAAGACAATCACTTTCATGTTATATTTCTTTAGAGCACTAAGTTAATCACGACTCTACGAAATAAAGATACAAAGCCTTAATTAACAAGCGCTTCATTTAATCAATTATTCAAAATTAAAGTGATAGTCTGGAACTCTAAATTTATTACACATTTTTAAGAATTGTATTAAATTGACGTCCTGGCCATAAATGTTGATATAAAATAAGTCATTTTATCAATTCTAATATTACGGATAAGTCCCGCCTTCCCTTCTCTTGGCTATAGCTTAGAATCCACGATGGCGTCCACGTTAACCAATGAAGTGATGCCAAGGGCTGTCAATCATCGGCGTTGATGCTCGTAGCTGCGCGCATGCTCAGTTGTTTGTTTTCACGGAGCCTCCGAATCAAGCCTTTATAGGCTCTGGAACTACATGAAAACTGAACAAAGAATTCTGAACATCCGCGCTGAGTGACCCATTTATATACTGAACCTACATCCATAATAATTTATATACTGAACCTATATCCATAATCATTTATATACTGAACCTACATCCATAATCATTTATATACTGAACCTACATCCATAATCATTTATATACTGAACCTATATCCATAATCATTTATATACTGAACCTACATCCATAATCATTTATATACTGAACCTATATCCATAATCATTTATATACTGAACCTACATCCATAATCATTTATATACTGAACCTACATCCATATTCATTTATATACTGAACCTATATCCATAATCATTTATATACTGAACCTATATCCATAATCAGATCCTCTGCAGATGTGTCCTATAATGTTCGATTCATGACAATAGCTACTTCCGGGTTTGCCGCAATCGCTTTTTTGTGCATAAAAACATTATTTTTGTCATGAAAACGTCAACAAATAATTCGGAAAACCTCCGTGCATGTGTATTAATAATGTGTATATGTATAATGTATTTTCCGATTAACATTTAAATGTGTTACGGAAACGTAGGTGTAGACCAATCAGAAAGGAAGGGGGAGGAGGCTTGCGTCATTTAAAAAAAAAATCATTTACCTCTCTTTTTTCTGACAAACTCCAGACAATCACTTTAAGTCTATATTATTTTCAGTGTAATAAAGAAACTGCCACTGGATCAAGGACACTCCACTAGGTTTGGAAATCAATAAAAATCCTCAAAAAAAGACTGCAATATATCAGTTTATGGCCTTTATATGGAGTAATATGGATGTTTATGTTTATGTTTGCATACAAGTTTGTATTTTTTAAATTAGGGGAATAATATATATATATAAAAGATAAAATAAAAATAACACCATGTGATACAAATTCCAAAACATAAATTACTATGTACAACATATTAGTGCAGAATATGTTGGTGGAGGAGGGAAAGCGTGGGGGGTAATTTCAACATCCAAAGTAATGAGCAAAGAAAATTATAATTAATGAGAAAAATAAAATAAAAATAAAGCAAAATAAGTACTGCCATGAAACTATGTAGGTGTTGACGTATTTGTATGTCTGTATTATGTATATGTGGATAAGTATGTCTGAAAAAAGCAAGAAAAAAAAGGCAAATATAAAATACTGCCTGGAGAATTTAGGGGAATAATAAATTAGAGTTTTGCAGCATTGAAGCCATAGTTTGAGAGCAGATGATGGACTTGTAGATCATTTAACTATTAATTTTTGTCTTTTCAGTTTGAGCCACAGACACCAGTGTTGCAGACCGTTTGAGAGCCGGGATTTCCTGCTCCAGCTGCTCTTTGGCGGTCGCTTCGTTCTTGTGTCGCACGCACCACTCGCTGGAGGAAGACAGGGCCTGCGTCAACTGCAACTCCTGAAAGACAAACATCTGAAATATACCACACTGCGACAGCTTTGTATGGATCTCAAGACTGTATAAATAAAGATAAAAAAAAAAAAAAAAAAAAAAAAAAAGACTGCTACATTGTTACAATGATCTGTCAGGTCTGTCAGATTGTATTACATTTGTCTACTACACTGCTATGATCTATGACAGTGGTTCAAAACATAAGGAGTCTGGGCGTCATGAGATTATGTCCAGATTAGAATAAAATTTACTTTTTCAAAAACATCTGTAGGAAACACATTTGGGCATTGTGTGAATGAATGTGTAACTGTTGGAGGAGTAATGTACAGTATGGTGTGTGTGTGTGTGTGTGTGTGGGCATGGTGTACAAGATTATGAATGGACACACACCTGCTGGGGGACGGGGACAGGAGAGAGGTCTATTTGGGAGGCTATAATTTTTTGTTATTATAGATTTGTTTGATATATTTTTGCCATTTCTCAGGCTTACGTCTATTCTTGCATGTTTTTCCTGTATCGTCACATTTTGCCTGTGACCGCAGAATTTATTAATTAAAATACATTGCAACTGGATACCAACTCGCTGTTTGTTTTTTATACTAATTTAGCGCATCATTCACTTTTATTGGACCTATCTCGCCTCCGCTGCTTAAGACAATAGGTAGCCGCTATAACATCAAATATATAATCATCCAATTAACTCAAATAACTTATCAATTATTTAAATGAATGTTAAATTTATGAATAACATGACATCGTACGCATTTGATCATTTCTGTTGTATTCACTGGTGCCCAAATTAAAGGCATGTATAACAAGATTGTGTTTGGTTCAGTTATGGTCCACCAATTATGTGTGATATCAAATTTAGAACCGCTAAATAGAGGACGGAAAAAATTTGATTTAAGCTGTTGTTACAAAATCAATAATAAAACCAAAACAAATATTTACGATCTGAGCGGTTGAATGAGACGGGAACAAATCCTCCACAACATGTCGCTCAGAGAAACATATGAAACCTTTTGATGCAGCTTCTCTGAGAGCCTCCTCGTCTCCTCTTCTGCTCTCTCCGCTCGCTCAGTCTCCTGCTCTCTTCTTTCCCGCTCCTCATTGTCCCTTGAACGCCTCACAGCCCACAGCTCCTCAGTCAGCGAACGCATCTCCAGCCGCATCTGGTCCTGGGTCTGCTGCATCCTCTGAGCAAACCAGAAAGCAACAGTTTAGCACATGACCATTATTTATACTCTACATGTGGAGCAGAAAGTAAAGTAACACGATTATTTATAACAGCCTGAAGTCTACAGAGGCGTCTCCTTATAAAAATAACAAGCTTATATTTTTGCGTATTTGACCTTGAGTAATCTAGTAAAAGTCGCCAGCAAAGATTATCAGGAGTGATATGTCCATCACTCCTGATTACTGATGGGACCAACTAAAATGTTGCTATTATGTCCAAGATTGAGATAATATTCACATTTTGTTTCCATTTCTTTTTTTAAAATACCATGTAAGAGTCACAGTTTGGTTAGGGTTATGGTTAAGGTTGGGGTTAGAAACAGTGAATTTGGTTGAATTTAGCGTTGGGACAAGGAAAGTGTTGATGAAAATGGCTCGAAAAGACAAGATTTTAGGGAGTCTCTGTCAACATAATCAGCAAAACGATAAATCAATGGCTCCTTAGTAATAATATAAAGTGCAAACCTGGATTTCAGAAGTGAGCAGTGCATTTTCAGTCTGAGCTCGGTCCAGTTTAGTTTCCAAATGTAAACGAGTTGACTCCAGGAGTTTAGACAGCTCTTCTGACGTCTGGGTATTTTCCTTTTATTGTCAAGTATTTGGATTTTTAGAGACATTCAATACAAAGAGGCCCATTGTATCATCTCACCTTCTCCAAGTCCAAAGTCTGAGCCAGCTTGGATGCTTCTCTCTCTTTGTTAGATAGTTTGGCAGAAAGTCTCTGTATGAAAGAAAACGGGAACAGTTAAATGGGTCAAAACATAGACTGTATATAGATGTACAATGCTAACCTGCTAGATCATTTCCCAGAGCCCAATAGGGAAGGACTCATGGACAAAGTTTTGCTCCAACTTACACTGAAAGTTATACTCTTCTAGCTCAGTAACTGTTTGGACGTGGGCCTAACTGTCATGGTGCTGCACGGGCTTGGGACATGAGAAAAAACATGTTGCTGCCCAACCTATTTTGGAAGAGGCAGTGAGGGCCATTAGATACCACTTGCGGTTTTAATTTGCCTTTGCTTGCACTAGAATACACAGTACTTTATACTTGCTTCTTTATTAAGCTAAAGCCAGAGATTTTGTACTTGTTTCTTTTTGATGCTAGAGTTAGAGATTATTTTTATTTCTATTTAGTATTGAGTTATTGTTCATTTATCTTGTGCTGCGTGCTCCTCATTCCTACTGTTCTGTAACTGGTGATGCAACACTGACATTTCCCTACTGTGGGACGAAAGATCTCTTCATCTTAAATCCAGATATGAGCCATATTAGGATTTACCATCTTAATTTACCAGAGAAACTCCAGCTTGCCTTAGCAACCATGTTAGCAAAATGTCTGCAACTGTAACAGCCCAAAGCTAATCTCTTGGAACAAATGCCCATATAAGGAAATTGTCTCCAGTTGTCATATGTTCAAATCTTTCGGCAAACATGTTGATGTGTGAGCGCTCAGTCAGTAATATACGTACAATGTTCTCTGCTTCACAGTCCGTGAGCCTTTTCTTCAGCGCGTCTCTCTGCTCTGACCACAGCAGGGACTCCCTCTAGAAACAACAACAACAATCATCATCATCAATCATTATTATTCTGAATTACTTTAGGTTTAGTAATGATGTGGGGATTTTCAACTACTGCCATACTTTCTTCATGATTTTCTGCTCATTTTAAGATACACATTGCTCCAATATTTATCATCACAGAGCCATTTGGTCGTTACATTTTTAAAATGGGTAATAGTTCATTTTATTTTTACGTAACATTTTTCATCTCGCCCCCCTTGTTTTGAAAGGGCCTTCAGGCCTGACAGTCGTGGGGTCGATCTCCCCACGAGACCAACTCCACCTACTCCCACTGATGTCTGCTGCTGTTGTATCCCTGGGCAAGACACTTATCTCCACTTTGCCTGAGCAGCCGTCCTCCTGTGGACCCACCCCCTGCAGTAGGATCGGTGAGGACACATTGAGCTGAGGCTGAGGTTGGGTGGTCCTCTCTTTTTTAACTTGTTTGTCTGAAAAAGATTATCTAAAGACGTGACAGTATTCACTTTTTGTCCTATTGTCTGTTTCATGGTGTGAAGATGGGACCTCTTCGACCTGCACATGTGAAGTGGTTGCCCCTGGCCTGGACTCATGGGCTGCACTTCTCAGTCCTGAACCTACAGCCTCAGTCCTGGGTCTACAGCCTCAGTCCTGGATCTACAGCCTCAGTCCTGGATCTACAGTCTGTCCGTCTATGGGGGCGTATCCCATCCCACTCTTGCTGTGAGCCTCCTTCCTGTTTTTATTCTTGCAGATACAAGAGGGTCTAAGGACAGTGATGATCAGGGACATTAATATTCATGGAGAGTGGTCGTCCCAGTCCCTATGGACCAAAGGCTTCTATGTGTCTATTACTGTTCTCGAATCATCAGTGCTATACAAGTCCTTGTGAATTAGGGCTATACAAAAATAGAAGAATGTGCCACACAAAAAGCAATAAAAATCTGACCAATCAGATCCTTATAGCTCATATCTGGATTTACTGACATAAAATCAATATGAAAACAGCAGGATCACAGAGAAGATCAACCCACTGTTTTTGTTAAACCTTCAGTGGTGAGTGTGACACAAACAGTTACTGAGCTGGAGGAGTTTACTTTCAATGTGAGTCAATAGGAGCCAGAGCGAAGAGGAGTAAAGCTTCGTCCATTGGGGACTGTCCTTCTGTTTACAATCTATGTTCTGACCTCTTGCTCGGTCCACTCCCGCAGCAGCGCTCTGAGGCCGTGGCTGGTGCTTGCAAACATCTCCACCTTCTCCAGCAGCAAATCCCGCTGTCGATCCAGAGAAGTTGTGTGCATTTTACTTAAACGCTTCACCTACAAACACAGGAGATGTCAGTGTATTAGCGGTTAATACTAGTGTCATTAGTACACGAATCCCACAACACATTTAGTTACAGTAAATACTGTCTTTGGTTACTTTGGTTTAAAATCTGGGCAGACTTTCTGTATATTTAACACTTCATAAACTGCTCAGTTCTCGATAGTTCTACGGTTCTCTATATCCAATTTACCTTACTTAAAGAGCCTATTTCAGCACTTTGGAAACTAACAGAATCAAGCAACAAGCAAATCAAAATTTATAAAAAAGAAAAATAAATAATTAAAAGCAGCCCTTTCCCCACACCTTGTCCCCTGGGTTTAAGCCCCAGAGAAGGCCCTGCCCCCTGGGTTTAAGACATTAGTCTCCAACCTATAGCTCGAGAGCTACTAGTAGCTCCCCATCCTCCTCAAAGTAGCTCCCCAAAGGATACATTTATAAGTAAAAACAAAAATGATCATGAAAGATTAGTTCATGGGTATAATACTGCACAACACAAAATGCCAAAAAAGTACCCAAATTATAGATGTAATTGATTGAACTTTTTGACGTCTTAAAACAAGATTTGCTAAAATAACATTAACATGGAATACATTCACTTTATATCGGAATCATATTTTGCTTATATATGCAGGAAATGTGACTAAAGCTGGTTGTTCCATTGTTTTAAGATTATTATTTTTTTAATTCAAGATAAAACGACCCCTGGTTTGAACCTTTGAAAGTTCGGCCACAGTTTCTCTCAGAGCCGAGAGCTGATTGGTCACAGCGGCTCCATCGATGTCCGCCTCCACCAGAGTTCTGAGCAGCTCGTCTGTATCTCTGAACTGACTTCCACATTCAGATCTGGCAACACAACAATTAACACTCAATGGTAAATAAAAAGACTGCTGTGCATACGTCAAGAAGACTAAATATTTCAATAATATCTAATCTTTACTTTATTTCCCCTCTGCATTAGTAACAAGTCATTATGACACAATGGTGAGGGACTCAAGAAATTTACATAATACATAAAAACTATACAGACATCAAATGCAGTTCACATGAAAAGTTATAAAATAGAATTAGACTTAGATATTCCTTTGGGAAGCAAATGTATTTTAAGTGTATCAGATGTAGAAACAAAGGAGGGTTTGTACTTGTTGCTTTTAAAGTTATGATGATGATGATATAATAATAATAATACAAATACAAATATAATAATGATAATAGCCCTCTCTGTATGTAAGAATTACATTTTGTGTATTGAAGACTTAGATGAAGTGATTACTTTAAACTTAATGTTAATGTAAAAAGTAGATCCTGAGGAAGAAGACAAAAAAACAAAATGTAAAATCAACCTGATATTATGCTTTACTCCAAAAAGAATTGAAAAGAGGAGAATGATGAGATGAAGTGTTTGAGGCAAAAATGTCATGAACTCGTCAGTACCTTCTTGAGCTTCTGCGATTGGTTTCTTTTTCTTCTTTGAGTAAAACAGCCAGACTTCTGGAGACAGGAGCCGCCTCTCCATCCTCTTCCACTTCACTTCTGTCCTTAAATGCGGAGCCTGAGCGCAGCAGAGATCGGCTTCTCTGGACCATCCAGAACACATGTTATGGCTCACACACAAATGCATTCAGCACACAAACATCTGATGTTACCTGGCTGTCATAAACCGAGTCGAGATTATGTCGAGTTGAAGTTTTTCCAGGAGGAATCCATGGAGGAGCTTTGGATTTGTTTCCATCAAATGTCTTGATCTGAAAAGTCATGAGTGAAATTATCAATATTGAAAATAAATGTCATCTACGAGCGTCGCTTCCTTTCAGTTCTATGTAAGTAATGTACAAATCGAGAGTTTACATCTAAATCCTCTGACAACTTTTTACTTTGACTTCTTCCTTTTAAACCCAAATATCTTTCCTTTCCCTTACATTTTACACAGACTAGTTATTTTGCTATTACAGTTAGCAACGCTCCAAATCATAACCGTTAGATTTTCAAAGACAAAGCCTTAACTGTCTCAATGTCTCATTTTGACTGAAATACATCTAGCGCTACAAACAAATATTCCACAAATATAATACGTCATAGTTTTCTTTTCTGTCTCTGCTTTAAAGTAAAACTATTCCCATCAATATCCATAAAGGCGTCATGGAAAAACCTTGAACATTGTGTAATTGCTCTTTTAGAGTGTGCAAATATTATGTGAAAAATTAACAGTTTTGTCCCCTCTGCTGTTGGACTCAACCTGTCACTTTATTAAATAATTATTAGTAAGTAAGTAAGAAGTGATCTTTATTTATATCGCACCTTTCACAGACCAGAGTCACAAAGCACTTAACAATTGTTGTGGGCATTACTAAGTAGTGCTACACTCTTAATGGTTTAATAAAGTCATTACAATTCTGATAATTCACTCACTAGTCACTGTACCTGTTACTTAATATTACTACATTATTACATATTTCATTTTATGTGTGAACTCTTATAATTCACAGCTCAGTCAGTAGTCACAAACTGCTGCTCATAAAACTATTGGTTATTCTGGTCATATTCTCCGCTGCTAAACTGATCCAATAAGTGACTGATCCTTGAACCAAGTGTAATTATAGCTCCAGTTTTATTATCTTATTATTGAAATGTGATTTTTGTTTGATGTGTGCAACCTTATTTCCTCCTTTATTCTGCTATAATGTGCAAGACAACAGTGACATTTCCACTGAGAGACGAGCAGAGGTTTTTCTTATCTTAATATGATCATTTTTAGGAATCCTGTATATTCCTATTGTTTGTGAACGCATCATTAGTTAATCCTAAAACAAGTAGATACATATCAAGAGCAAACTGACAAACAGACTATAAATATTAGGAGCAGATGGAACATGTATCTGTTTGTTTGTCACCTGTTGCTTTGTGCTGGGGCTTCTCTTCATACGGACGTGGAGCGGAGTAGCTTCAGGGACGTGGAGATGGACGGGCTGTGTTTCCCGGGCAGGCATCGTTCTCCCCGCGGCTTAAACACCTCTACGGAGTCTTTGCAGGCGGCATTTACCCGTATGACCACAAATAGTTCGATACAGACACAAAAAACGGTATAAAAGTTACATTCTTCAGGACAAATCTCGACTTCTGTCTCTGATGCTGTGGGACGGCGGCAGACCTCACATTCGAATAAGGAGGACGCTCATTGGTTCGTTTGGAGCTCGGCCTGTGATTGGCTGAAGTGAGCGTTTGTTTCGCGTTGCCCCGGGTTACCACACATTCTATGTTCTATGATATGAGTATAAATTGATCCTATATATATAACCCATTCAAATGTGTATTATTCAACTTAGAAGGATGGTTAACCATTTCAAACCTGTAAAAACCTGTTCATAGACAATTACATTTTTTTTTTCACTCTCCGACTGAAATGAATGGATTCAGTTATTTCTGACCATTTGTAGAAATGGTTTATTGCTTTATACAAAGTAGACACCTAAATATTAATATTTCTTATAACACATATTATATATATATATAAATATAACACAAAGACTCCCAGAATTTTAAAACTACTAAAACTCCCAGAGCAGTCATTACCGTTCAGATTCAAAGGATTGGTTTTCTGGAGAAAAAAAAATTCACTACTTTTATTAAAATGAATAAATTCATACAGGTTTCATCTTTAATACACGCTAAAACTGGTTATTATAAATTGTTTGGCAGTTTCTCAGTTATATTAAACAGTTTTAGCATGGCATCAATATATGGTAAGTAATGTGATGTAGACTATGTGTGACCTCAGACACACAGTCATCTGCAGAACACTAACCAGCACTTGCTCCAAGCTGAGATAGCTCTGAACCAGTCTAGGACCAGACCAGGTCGGATCGAGATCATTTCATAGAATAATTACATAGAAATAAACTTTATATAGAAACAGAAAAAGTGAGGGTTAGGGATTAATGATTATCCTCAGTAAACAATGAGGATAATCATTAAATAATGATGTCAAAGCCTTGGAAACTTCCAGACAGATCCCAGTGGTGCTGCTGCAGCCCAGATTTACTTTTTACAACAAGAGTTGCATGTTATGTTACAAGTGTGTGTCTCAGTCCTGCTTCAGAGCCAGGTCTATAACTGGTCTAAGCTGCCTCTCCAGGTCTTCAGTGTCTCCTTCGTTTTTAATGATCCAGTCCCAGTCCTGAACCTGGTCCAGGCCACACTCCGACTCTGCATCGTCCACACCTTACAGACAAAACAAAGGTCAGTTTCTTCAATTCTTCTTCTTCCTATTTTGAGCTGAACTAGGTCTGAACCAGGTTCTACCTTCAGTAAAGCTCCAGCCCCTTGTGGTCCTGATCTGGTCTGAACACTGGACTCTAATGGTCCGCGTTTTATCCGGGTACTGGGTCCGGAACCAGGTCAGGTCTGTGGAGCGGCGAGCATCACTGATGATCTGTAACAAGACCAGAGTTAGACTGAGACCTAGTCCAAGACCAGTTCAAACAGCAGTCAGCCAAACTCACAAAAACATTCAACCTTCATCTATTGTACACGTTTTAGTGGTAAGGGAAACCGAAGCACCCAGAGGAAACCTATCAAGGGGTGAACATGCAAACTCCACACAGAAAAGCCTCATTTGGAGGGGGAATTGAACCCAGGACCTGCTTGCTGTGAAGCACAGGCGCTAACCACTGCGGCATCACTTCCCGATCTGCGAACTCACCCACACTGGCTCAGTGGCGCCTCTTGTGGCAAGCCGACAGAAGTACCCCGGGTCATTCCTCCTCTGGTCTTCTCCCCACTGGATCATCTCAGACCTGAAGCGTTCTTTATAAGGACCAGGACCAAGAAGCAAGTCCAAGTCCAGACTGTGGTCCTGAGGAGTCCACAGAGCAGTTTGTTTATGGTCTGATACATTTCATGCTTTAAATGTTTATTAGCATTTTGTATTCTGTCACAGACCTGAGCAAAGTGCTGCTTCAGAGGAGCCGACAGGCGCAAGATGGAGGAGAGAGGGGCCCCCAGACTGTGGGGAAGAGGCCATTAGCGTTTTCATACTGTAGACAGGTTCTTTCTGTTTGAGGGGAATTGTCAACAGGGGCCAAATAATACTTTAAGTTATGTTTAAATCATAGAAATGTGTAACAGTTACAATCATGATAATATTTTGATGAATTCAATCATAATTGTATTGTACAATAACAATATCAGTTGTACCGCGCATGCAGCAGGTTGGTCACGTGGTCTTTCCCAGATTTTCTTTTCCCGCTGAAAACCAGGACGAGACGTGGTGTCGGCTGCACATCCGCCATGGAACCAGGACTAAAGGGGACTGAAGATGGACATAAGCAGGTCGAAAAGACTAAAGCAGGACTTATTATATAGAGCAGACTTAAAAGAAACGAAGAACGAAAGAACTAAGCAGGACTACAGAAAAAAATTAGCAGAACTAAAGAAGATTTAAAGCAGGACTAAAGGATAGGAAAGGGTCTAAAGCAGGACTAAAAAGGTCAAAATAATCAAAAAAGCAACTGTAAGGCAGGACAAAAGGACTAAAGAGAGTTTAAAGCTGATCGAAAGCAAGTCTAGAGCAGGTCTAATGCATGACTAAAGCAGGTCTAAAGCAGGACTAACGCAGGACTAAAGCAGGTATAAAGCAGGGTTTAAAGCAGGACTAAGGCAGGACTAAAGCAGGTCTAAAGCAGGACTAAAGCAGGGTTTAAAGCAGGACTAAAGCAGGGTTTAAAGCAGGACTAAGGCAGGACTAAAGCAGGTTTAAGGCAGGACTAAAGCAGGTTTAAGGCAGGACTAAAGCAGGTCTAAAGCAGGTCACAAGCAGGACTAAAGCAGGTCTAAAGCAGGACTAAAGCAGGTCTAAAGCAGGACTAAAGCAGGTCTAAAGCAGGACTAAAGCAGGTCACAAGCAGGACTAAAGCAGGACTACAGCAGGTCTAAAGCAGGACTAAGGCAGGACTAAAGCAGGTCTCGAGCAGGACTAAGGCAGGACTAAAGCAGGTCTAAAGCAGGACTAAGGCAGGACTAAAGCAGGTCTCGAGCAGGACTAAGGCAGGACTAAAGCAGGTCTAAGGCAGGACTAAAGCAGCTCCAAAGCAGCTCCAAAGCAGGTCCAAAGCAGCTCTATAACTGGCTGATCCGGGTATGGACTCTGTAATCTATGATTCTGTATTGGTACGGGACCATACTGGTACCGGTCAAGGACCCACGCGTGTAAACAAACCCGAAGTGGCGCACGCTTTGTGACGTCAGCACGTCCTGTGGCTCCACGTCGAAACTGTGAAGTAAACACGCACTCAGATCTGGTTTACGGCCGTTTATTCATACAGAACAGTTCATGCACATGGAGGGGTTTTATTCTCAAAGAAGATGGAAACATAAACACATATGAGAGACCTACTGTAGCTGTGTGACCCACATCCGGGCTCCACGAGAACCACGACAGGACACGGTTTACTGATATTACGGCACCACGTGATCAGCTGACAGTCGCCTGAGTCCGGACTGAACCACTCTGCGTGGGGGTTTGGGCTGTTCCAATGTGTCCTTGAGGGAGAAGACCATCGACTGTAAATATTATAAAAGACAAGACCAGCTTTGACACAGGTCTTGACTTTTTGTTTGAGCATGTCCTAAAAAATAAAATAAAGATTGAAATGAATTTGTCATCCCCTTTTGGTGTTTCTCTCTCTTTGAAAAGTACTTTGAGATGTTGTTGGGTGTTTGTGAACGATTCAATCTCACCCAAGCATGGATTTATTAAAATAACTGAATAGGGTATTACTAGCTTGGAGCTGAAGGACCCATGTGCTAGGGGATTCTCGCGGTACTGCAGACTAAACCAGACTAAATTCACGGGGGCTACGCAGAGATTTTCCCCAAAGAACTCAATGTAAACAAAAACAGCTCGACCTCAGCTGACAGAGAACCTACAGCTTTCATACATGTAGGGATTTTAGTGTCCCTTGTCATCCTGGACTTTTTTTCTTCTTGAATCCTTAAGTTTTCTTTATATCCACAGTTTAGTGCCACAAACTCTGTTGTTCCTTCCGCTCTGACTTCGCTCTACCGCTGCTCTGATCAACAGCACTGATTGGTCAGCCGAGCCCCTCTGTGCAGTGCATTAGAGCCACACACGCGTATTTGGCGCAACCGTTATTGATTGACTGCGGAACCTTCCGCAGTCAACCATTGGTTTTGTATTTCTTTATTCCGTCATTTTTTTTGACACGTTTCACAGCTTTCACATTTTCAACAATTTCCACAAGTTATACATCAAAACGTTCCACATGTTTGGGAGATTATTGCTATTACTTTTGGGACTTCAGCGATTTCCGGTTTTTCCGCAATCGGACAAAAATCTGCATTGAGAATTCTGCAATGCATTTTAATAGGCCCATGCATTTTAATAGGACTTCAGCTCTTTCAGACATTTCTACAGTTTCAATGATTCAACAGTTTCAAGGATTCAACAGTTTCAAGGATTTCAGCAGTTTCAAGATTTCAAGAGTTTCAAGGACTTCAACAGTTTCAAGGACTTCAGCAGTTTCAAGGACTTCAGCAGTTTCAAGGACTTCAGTGTAATCATGCAACCTAATAGGGATTTTTCCATGTAAACCAGTATAATGCAACTTAATAGGGATTTTTCCATGTAAACCAGTATAATGCAACTTAATAGGGTTTTTTCATGTAAACCAGTATAATGCAACTTAATAGGGTTTTTTTTCATGTAAACCAGTATAATGCAACTTAATGGGGATTTTTCCATGTAAACCAGTATAATGCAACTTAATAGGGGTTTTTACATGTAAACCAGTATAATGCAACTTAATAGGGTTTTTTCCATGTAAACCAGTATAATGCAACTTAATAGGGTTTTTTCCATGTAAACCAGTATAATGCAACTTAATAGGGTTTTTTCCATGTAAACCAGTACAATGCAACTTAATAGGGATTTTTCCATGTAAACCAGTATAATGCAACTTAATAGGGTTTTTTACATGTAAACCAGTATAATGCAACTTAATGGGGATTTTTCCATGTAAACCAGTATTATGCAACTTAATAGGGATTTTTCCATGTAAACCAGTATAATGCAACTTAATAGGGATTTTTCCTTGTAAACCAGTATAATGCAACTTAATAGGGTTTTTTTCATGTAAACCAGTATAATGCAACTTAATGGGGATTTTTCCATGTAAACCAGTATTATGCAACTTAATAGGGATTTTTCCATGTAAACCAGTATAATGCAACTTAATAGGGTTTTTACATGTAAACCAGTATAATGGAACTTAATAGGGGTTTTTACATGTAAACCAGTATAATGGAACTTAATAGGGGTTTTTACATGTAAACCAGTATAATGCAACTTAATAGGGTTTTTTCCATGTAAACCAGTACAATGCAACTTAATAGGGATTTTTCCATGTAAACCAGTATAATGCAACTTAATAGGGTTTTTTACATGTAAACCAGTATAATGCAACTTAATGGGGATTTTTCCATGTAAACCAGTATTATGCAACTTAATAGGGATTTTTCCATGTAAACCAGTATAATGCAACTTAATAGGGTTTTTTCCTTGTAAACCAGTATAATGCAACTTAATAGGGTTTTTTTCATGTAAACCAGTATAATGCAACTTAATGGGGATTTTTCCATGTAAACCAGTATTATGCAACTTAATAGGGATTTTTCCATGTAAACCAGTATAATGCAACTTAATAGGGTTTTTACATGTAAACCAGTATAATGGAACTTAATAGGGGTTTTTACATGTAAACCAGTATAATGGAACTTAATAGGGGTTTTTACATGTAAACCAGTATAATGCAACTTAATAAGGATTTTTACATGTAAACCACTATAATGTAACCTAATAGGGGTTTTTACATGTAAACCAGTATAAAGCAACTTAATAGGGATTTGTACATGTAAACCAGTATAATGCAACCTAATAGGGATTTTTCCATGTAAACCAGTATAATGCAACTTAATAGAGATTTTTCCATGTAAACCAGTATAATGCAACTTAATAGGGATTTTTCCATGTAAACCAGTATAATGCAACCTAATAGGGATTTTTCCATGTAAACCAGTATAATGCAACCTAATAGGGATTTTTCCATGTAAACCAGTATAATGCAACCTAATAGGTTGCATTATACCACCAGACCAAGACCCAAACGAAGACTCAGACCACCACCAGATAATGACCACAGACCAGGTTTCCTTAGTTACAGGAACCAAATTGTTTCAGCGGTGAGGGGATTTTTCAGTTTCAAGGACACTTTCAATACATTCAGTAGTTTCAAGGATTTCAACTGTTTAAGAATTTAACCAGTTTCAAGGATATCAGGAGGTTCAAGGATTTCAGGAGTTTCCACACTTTCAACAGTTTCCAGGTTTAAAAAAAGTTTCAAGGATTTCAGGAGTTTCAATGTTTCAACAGTTTCAAGGATTTCAGGAGTTTAAAGGTTTCAACAATTTCAAGGACTTCAGGAGTTTCAAATATCTATCAAGTATTTTAACAGTTTCAAGGCCTTTTAAAGGATTTCAAGGATTTTTTTTAGCAGATTTCCACATTAGATCTGTTCCGCAGTCAATCGCAATGGCTTCAGCCATTGCAAGTTTCTAGTTATAATATACCCATGATCTCACCCCATTCTCAAAATAATGTGAGGGAATTAGAAAAAGTGTTTCGTGCTTTGATTTTTATATATAAAATATGCTCTTCTATTTTTATTAAAGGCTGCATAGTTTATTTCTTTGTCAGGTTTGGATGGTATTTTAGACCACAGCCTCAAACAGATGAAGCTACTTTAGATGAAGTCACTAATGCACTCGGACTAAAAAAAACCTGCACTGCTATTGCCACTCTTTTTTTATTGCCACATTTTTATTGTACATAATTATATCCTGCACAGACTATATTTTTAACCTTAACATGGTGCACACTTCTGTCTTTCGCACAATCTGAGTGATTCTATCTGTGCCAAATGTGACATGTACATTTCGCCAGTGAGAGATCAATAAAGTCTTATCTTATCTTACTTATCACATGAAGAAATAAACAAACGCGTTAAACTCTGATGAATTCTTTTTCACTTCTTGTTAATATTAACTAAACCACACATTCAATTTAATAAAAAAAACGTTGCACATCCATTTTAAACAAACCTTTTATTGTAATACAGCTTACAGAGAAATACCTGTTTTTTTCACCCAGCTTACAGAACAGTAGGACATGCACATGAACAATACTTGTATTTCCGACTCAGCTGTGACACGCAAGCCTAATTTACTAGATTTCCGTATGTTATTAAAACGTTTCCCCTTGGACTGCCACCTGAACTTGGTGGGAGAGTTTGAGTACTCGGATGATCCTTGAGTTGTCTTGGGATTTATGTCCCTGGGAAGACCTCCTATGGCTAAACAGGTCTTAGGTGACGAGTCAGATGAAGCACATCCAAAGCCCATCAGGTCTTGGGATGGGGCTCAAAGCGAGCATCTGGTGGCTATGGCGACTTATACATAATCAAAGGCAGAGACCTAACGACGTGGTCGCACACGCAGACCATGCGCCAGTGTTCCAGACATGGAACATCACTCACTGTGGGGTAGGAGCCTGAGCTTGTGGGGGGAGGTTGAGAATACCAACTGATACAGAGCACAAGCTGTGTCAATCTCACACAGCTTGAGCTCTGGAATTTACTCCTCAAGAGGGGTTGGATGCTCCACTTTTCTAGCGTTCCTCGCAGGGAGAGGCTGCAAGCGGGGGTGTCCAATAATCATTGCCCCCCATCTCAGCTGCACATGTTGGTGATGAGGGGCCGTGTCCCTCCGCTTCCGGGCGGGGGACAAGTTTCTCACTGTTGTGGCCGGGTCAGGGCCAACAGCAGTGCAGAGTACTCTTCCTTCAGGTCCTTAGGAAGGGTACCTGGATGGGTGCACCCACCAGGGACTCTGTTATTTATCCTGAGGCCTTCAAATCCTTGTGGGAAATACCGTTTATAGGACCTTTTGTTGTAGTCACAGTTTGTCCATAACGAACACCATGTTTGAGCACGAAGGGTGTCCACCAGTTGCACGTGTCTCTCGGACACTGGGGGGAGAGAGTGGCGGAGCTGTCAACGATCTCCCATCTGGTCGCGAGTCGGTTCCGCTGGTAGAGGAGGAAGCCAAACAGACCTGGCAAGACATGAACTTTAGTAGGATCTGATGGGAATGTCTTGCCGAGCCCCCGTAGATATTGGAGAGAAGAAGAGGACATTGAGTCTGAGTTGATCATCTTCGGAATAAAGGTGAAGACCTTTATTGCGAAGCGGCACCGCCCCCCTGTTCGTAGCTGTGGTCGCTAGGTCTCTGGTGCTGCTTCACTGGTCAAACCAGAAGGGCGCTTCAGTGATGGCCTCAAC